GATGTTCAGCCTCTTTTCATGTGCTTTTTAGCCACTTGTGTATCATCTTTGAAGAAATGTCTTTTCATGTCTTTTACCCACTTTTCAACCGGGTTGTTTGGTTTTTTGTTGAGTCATGGGAGTTCCTTATATAGTCTGGACATTAACCCTTTGTCACATATGATTTGCAGATATTTTCTCCTATTCCATAAGGTGCCTTTTCACTTTGTTGATTGTCTCTTGCACAGAAGTGTTTTATTTGGATGTCGTCCAGTTTATCTGTTTTTACTTTTTTGTTGCCTGTGCTTTGGTGTCATAGCAAAGAAACCGTTGCCAAATCCATCGTCTTGAAGCCTTTCCTCTCTGTAGACAGGTTTTTCTTTAAACCCAGGCTTTCCCTATTCTGGATAATGTTGCAGTGAGTGGCTTCATGAACTTAGCTTTTTTCTTCTGTTGGCACTATTTTACATGACTTTCAGAAAGAATTTTGTCCTCTTAGAGCCCATTTTTTGGAGATACTGGGTGGAGCAGAGATTATCACTTGTCCTTTAAGCCAAAGTTGTATTCTTAAGGAATGGTGCAAGGCGTTTAGAGAAGCATTCAGTGATGTCTTGATTGGTAATTCTATGAAGTTGACTCCTGCGGTCCTCTGGGACTGTGATTTTTAAAACAGCATAGGTCACAGCAAAGGCACAGCCCTTTTAAGAGCAGCTGGGTGGTGGGGTGAGTTTATGTGATTATTTATTCAGTCCTCAGCTTTGAGATCTCAGGGATATAGTGAGATGAGGTGACTGCTCTGGGATGACTAGGTCCAGATGGCCCTGGAATTCCCTGGTAATACACAGAGTCCAATCTCCCCACACATTTGAAGGCGAGAAAAGTTGTTTTGGAGAATTCTTCTAAGAATTCTACACTATATGAATGTGTAGAACATTTTCAGAAAAATCAAAGAAAGGCTTAAAAAACTAGCCATTTGTCACTGTGTTTGGGACATAAAATTACATTTAAAGAAGTATACTTAGTTAGAGACTGTCTTGTAATATGCTCATTTATTCAGTGGAAAAGTATTCCTTTGAGAATCACATGTATGTATTCCCTCCCACTATGTTTTAGGAAACAAAATCTTCATCAGTCCAATTTTTAATGTGCTGGAGAAACTTTGTTTTTTAAATTTCCATGGCAATGTTCATAAATTTATAAATAGACCATCCATTGATTGCTTCTTTGTATTTTCAACAGTTTTCCTGCTTAATCCTCTAATCTCAACTTATTTTTGAAATCTCAGTCATTTCATCTGTAAATACTTTCATATACACCTCCAAAAAATAGTCCTTAAAATGTGGCTGTTATACCATTGCTGTACCTAAAACAAAAAAACAACTAATTCTCTTAAACGACTAATACTGATTCACTAATAGAATCAAATACCCATCAATGATCATTTGTTTTCTTTTTTTCCTTTTTCTTTTTCATAAAGAAAACTTTACATACAATAAAGAAGGTACACATATATAAATATCACATTGTAACTACTCAGATCCAGATCACATTAAAGGATATTTCCAGCAATCCAGCATCCTCTCTCCAGCTCCTCAGTCAGAATCCCTTGAAAGGCATCACTGTTCTGAACTCTGTCATCATTAGAGGTCAGAACAGTGGTTTTGAACTTCATATAAATGGAGTCATTCAGTATATACTCTCTTGTGTCTGATGTCTTTCATTCAACATTACACCTATGAGATTAACTCATGTTTTTGCATTTAGCAGTAGTTTTTTTTCTCATAGCAGTGAACTATTCCGTTGAATGAATATTCTGCTATTATTTGATCTGTTCTACTGTTGATGGACGTTTGAATTGTTCCCAGTTTGAGGCCACTATGAAGAATGCTTATTACCGAGCCCAGGCTCATACTGCTTGCCACGTGACAGGCCAGTAAATTGAGAGATAAGCTGTTGGGGCCAGGAGTATCAACTTTATTTGGAAAGCCAGCAGACTAAGGAGATAGTGGACAGGAGTCCCAAAGAACCATCTTACCCTAGTTAGAATTCAGGCTTTTAAACTAAAAGGGGAGGGGCTGTGGTTGGTTGTTGGAAACTTCTTGGTGTCTGAATCCTTTTTTCTTGCAGCTGTCCACATAGGCCAGGCCATGATGTTCCTGTAAACCTGGAGCAAAACAAATGTTATTCTCTGTTCTGCAACTTTTTAATCTTCTTATGAATGAACGGGGAAGTGTTACACTTTTAAAGGTCAGAGCCTTGAGAATTGGGCTGTCTTGTATATTTCAGGCTATAGGCAAGGTTCTTTGTAGCAAAAGCAATAGAACACAAAGGTTTAGAATAAAAGAAACAGGTCCAGTATGGAGTCAGATTTGTTCTACCCTATTACACTGTTAACATACCATACATATCTTTTGGGAGCATAATTCAATTCTATTCTATGTATATATGTAACTAAGAAAGAAGTTACTGAGTCATAGACAGGCATTGCTTAGTCGATCAGGCATGTAGATGAGTTTTAGTAGAGCAGACGTATAGCTTTGGTAGATACTGCAAAGCAGTGTTTGAGTTCCAGTTACTCCACATCCTCACTAACACGTGGTATTATCAGTCCTTATACGTACGGCCAATCTGAGAGTATAGGGGTATCTGAAACTGGGTTGCCAGTCATTTTTCACTCATTCATGGGAGTTCTTTATGTATTCTCAAGGTGAGCTCTTTGTTGGATATGTGTATTTGCCTTTTTCAATCTCTTAGGAGTGACCAGAAATTCTTAATTTTAATTGTTCGATGCCAGGTAATGTAGGTCTCCAACTTGGTTGGCCTTCTTCAGATTTGATTTAGTCATTCTGAATATTTACACACACACACACACACACACACACCACCCCACCCCCCCCCCGGGATTTTTTGAGTTTAAGAGAAGATAACCCAGGACCTCGTGCGTGCCAAGCATGCAGTCTATGACTGAGCTATAATCTCCCCCCACCTCCCTTCTTTTAAATGTGAGGTTTTTCATCGTGTGGTCTGTTTCACTTGCCCCTGCCTCTTTTGTTATGTATCTTCTGGTATTTAGGAAGGTTTGTGTTTTGGTTCTAATGCTTGCCTTTCTGCCTGGCCTTTCCACGGTGCCTCACTCGCCTCCCGTGTTGGTCGTTGCTTGTTGGTTCCTCGTGTGTGAGCACACGGAGAGGAGCTAGGAGCTCTTCCTTGCCCTCTGGCATCAGTGTTGGACGACTGACCCTTGTCCTCTTTAGGAACATTTCCAAATCTCCTAATTGAGTAAGTTTTGTGTGGAAACACATGGGTGGGCCAAAATTGACTTAGATGAGATAAATTCATATAGGATTACCTGAATCATGTTGAGTTAAAAAAAACAATCAAGTGGATGAAACAAGTGAACATTGTTAGATTAAGCCTTTAAAACCCCAGGTAAAGAGCGCAGCATACACCTGCTTCTCAATCAGGTCGTTACTGAGCGCCTCATGCTCCCAGGTGCATGGGGTTTCTAGAGACAATGTTTCAAGGAGGGAAAGATGTTTCCATTGCGCTGATTTTTCGCTTAGATGAAAAGATGGTACGTGAAGTCCAAATGGCCAGGCCAGGGCACCATGAATCATTCATAGCCTTGGCTCTCCGGAATCTAATTTTAGTCAGAAACAAGAAGCAAAGGTAGCAACACTGGGCCCTCAGTTCAGCCTCTTTCATCTCCCAGAAGGACAGAGGAAGCGCGGAAAGAGCAGAGACGGGGAAGCCACGCTGATCAGCTCTTGACTGAGATATGTCTGTTCGGGAAAGGCAGAGTTCTGTCTTTCATTCCTTCACAGATTTGTATTTGCTGGATGCCTGCTGTGTGTAAGGCAGGATGATGAGGGATAAGAAGCAGGAAAGAGCATTCTAGTGGGGACCCTGCTGGCAAACCAAGCGATCACGTTGTGGGCTGGGAGCCTGGGAAGGCACGTCCGTGTGGAGCCGCGGAGTGGGAAACAGCGACTGTCCCGGCGCGAGTGCAGGGAGGTGGGAGCCTGGGCAGTGCGCGCTGGGAGGCGCTGGTGGAGCTGGCTGTGGGGGGTGAGTGCTGCTGCGGGTTCTTCCCGAGGGACTTGACCTTCCTAATTCTTGCAGGTTCGAGTACCCTGTTAAGCGGGGGTAAACAAACTCTTCTTTGCTGTAGCATGTGAGTAGGTGCCAAGTAGGTGGAAGAAAAAATTGTGGCATAGGGTTAACATTTCAAATAAATTGAGTTTACTGATCCCTGCCCACAACATACCCCGCCCTCAAAGAGGAAAGTTCATGAGCATCTGAGCATTGGGTATGTGTGTGTGTGTGTGTGCGCCTGCTGTCCCTCCCATGCACACCCCCACCAAACACACACGTTCACTTGGGACGTAACCTCAATTTCCAGTAAAGGACTGACTAAATACATGGTCATTATAAAAAAAAAAGCAAAAGCAGTGTATTATTTACACAATGACAAAAACAGTAAAATTATTTTTAGGAGGCAGTTCTAACTTGCTTTCCCTTTGCTGCAATTTACGAGGATTTGGATTTTTGTATTGGTTGTGAATTTGAAGCAGAACGTTTATTTTCTTATATTCTTTAAGTTGAATTGGTATCAGTTTCATTTGGCTTCATATTTGGCTTACATATAAAATTGGATAATGACTATTACAGTGGGGGATGACTGACTTGAGGGAGGCATTCTTAAAGTCTTTTGGATGGAATAAGTGAGTTTGCAAGGTCTGGCTTAGTGGTAAAATCCTTTACTCTAAAAATAATACTTGTTTTATGTGTATGAAGTTTTGAACATGTTTTGCATTTTAAAAATGAGTATTAATCGTCCTCCTTTGGCCATGTATCTGCAGATGTCGGATAGGTTTACTAAGGCAGTGTCTATTACAATATGACTTTCTGCTCCTTGCTTGGAAGACTTGGGGGCAGACTTTATCCTGGTAGACAGACCTGTGAACTTCCTTGCCTCTTTTACTTTTTACTTAGGGTAATTTAATCAACTTGAAGACCTTAACAACTTCTGACCAATTAATTAGGAATATACAGTATCCTGGCATAGCAAATTTTTTAAAAATAAAGTTTTACAATAAAAATAATTTTATTTTGTTTTCTTAACAGAAATCATAGCCCATTAATGAGTTTTGGAGCCAGCTTTGTCAGTTTTTTGGTAAGTTCATGTGGGAAGGGGTTTTGGTGGGAAGAAAACAAATACATAATGTGTCTTTTAGTGGTTACTGGCTTTATACACTATTGAGGAAGATCTTTTACAGTTAAAAACAAATCAAATGGTTGCCTCTTAACACTATGAGATATCCTTCCCTAAGTTTAAACATAAAATGCTTATGTGTTACTTCTGGAGTATTATTTTCCCAGCCAAAATCCTTTTTAAAATAAACATATAATCAAAAGACCTTTCCAAAAATTAAAACTGCGTTAGAGTTGGGAATGAAAGACTTTGGATAATAAAGGTCTGCTCTAACATTGCTGAGTAAATGTGGACTGAAAAACCAGTTAAATCAGCAGAGCTAAAGTTTGTCAGTTACTGTATACATTTTCAAATATTAATATTTAGGAATTGAGGGAGTAAGTTGCAGTTAGTTTTTAAAATAAATTGGGCAATGAAGAAAATTGGATGCTTTTATTTTTCAGAAACGTTTATCACACAAACTACTTTCAGACATGATTAAAGAAAAAACTGTCATAGAATTACATAGCAGCAGCAACAACAACAAAAATCACAGAGAGACTGAGAGAAGTAAAATGGAGAAGGCACTTAGATTCCAGGTTTAGAAAGATCTCAGCAAATGGGCACGCTGGACGCAGCCTGACGGAACCCAGTCACAGCCAGCTTCTGGCAGCAGGGACTTTCATTCAAGCTACTTATTTATTCTTACTGCCAGGCAATGTAACAACATTTTTATTACGCTTTTTAAGGCCTACTCTTTGCAAGAAAACGTAGTTCCAGATCTTAAGGAAAGTGGTTCTGGGTGGGGGTTGTAATGAGTACCCACGTGACAAGAGAGGCGGTGAGGAAGATGTCACGGAAGGCGTGGCGTGGTGGCGGCTGGGCGAGGAGGCTGTGGCAGAGTTGGGGTTTGGTTGGAAAATGTGGTGGGGACGCTTGGCCAAAGGTGGCTGTGGTCTGGTTTGGCTAGAATGGATAAGTAGGTTAGAGTCATACGAAGGAGGCCCAGGATGCTGGCCGGGGTGGGCAGGCTGAACGTGATAAGGAGCAGACAGTTAGTTACGATGAGTTCATTAGGTCCTTCCAAGAACCCGGTGTCCTGTCTCTGCCCCTGTGGCCCGTTTACCTCAGAAACCTCAGTCCTTCTGGGGGAAGTAGCAGATTTTCAGCGGAGGATCATTCCTCTATAGTCAAATGTGGCCTGAAGAAAATCTACCAGGATCAGGTGCTTGGAAACAAGCTGTCAGTGGAATTTTTTCACTGTGGACAATAAAAAATGAGTTTCTTATAAGTGAGCTGACTGGAATTGCTGTCCCTGAAAAGACTGATAATTTTCAAAGAGCACCTGCCAGCTGATGTTTTGTGCTGTATTTGATGGAGCCAGGGGTCCATGTGTGGGTAGAAAGTAATTTTCATTGAGACCATTATAAAAACTGAATTAAGTGGACCAATCGGAAATTATATAGAGTTTTATTACTGCGTTGAATAACCAAAAAATTATAGAACAGTGAGTGCAAGGACATTTGTTACCATGTTTTTTTCATGCTGCTGTAGTAGAGATATGTGCTTATTTCATACTGAGATTATAGGGTTTTTTTTAATGAATAGGGTATGCTGTAGCATTCTGATTCTCTTACTTGCAGTATATCATTTAGATGGTTTTTTTCTTCCCCTAGTTTGGAGTTGTGTTGTCATAAATTGGCCTCAATATTCAGACCCTTAACTGCTTCATTCTTATTTCTTTCTCGGTAGAATGCTATGATGACATTTGAGGACGAAAAAATGCAGTTGGCTTGTGATGACTTAAAAACCACAGAAAAGCTGTGTGAAAGTGAAGAGGCTGGAGTTATTGAAACAATCAAGAATAAAATTAAGAAGAATGTAAGTATTATGCCTTTAGATTTTGAACTGTGTGCCACTGGGAACACGGTTTATTTGCTTTTTGGTGTTTAGAATATGGCTGAAGCACTCGATGTTGCGTACAGCTTTTGATTATATAAAGTGTGTTTCTTGTCGCACTGGAACCCCCTTAGTCACGAGAGCTATTCAGTGCGTGGTCTTCTGGTATCTTAAAATCCCCTTCTCCCATAGTGGGCCATGTGACAAGGGCTTTGGTAATGAGGCTTTCATATGTGTTATTTCAGATATGTTGCATTTTGGCATAATTCAGTAGTTCAGCTGGTTGCCTCCTTTCCTGAGGCCTCTCCAGCCCTGGTTACAAATAAAGTCACAGTGACATGAAAATCCACTTTCCCTGATTTTTCTTTCACCTTTCAGTGCCAGAGTTCCAGGCTTTGGAGAGACCTCCCCTACTGCTAATGTTTCTGGAGTGCCCAGAGGTCTCGTGTGTGTCACATGTTCAGCTGGCAGACCAGCCTGTTGGTCGCATATATATCAGGAACCACTCGTCTTTTGTTCTCCTTCCTCTCAGTCCAGGTGGCTTCCCCTCTGCTCTTGCTTGTGGTGCTGGCCAATGAGAAGCCACTGATGGGCCCAGAGTACCATTTCCTGATGCTCCAGGAGGGCCAGAGTTCCTTGATTCCTCTCCCTCCAAACCCTACGTCTAGTCAGTGACCAAGTCCTGTTGACTCTTTCTTGAAGATCTCCTGAATCCGTCTGCATCTTTCTGTCCTCACTGCCGTTTCCCTTAGCCAGTCACCATCTCCACTTGCCTGAAACAACCGTCACTGTCATGATCCCTCCAGTCTCACTGTTATCTAATCATTCTCCAAAATACAGTCACTAAAGGTGCAGATAACATGTTGCTGGTTTCATTTTCAGTGTCCCTGAACCCCGTCCCTTGCCATTGCACTAAAGTCCAAGCTCCTTAATGTGGTTGACTTGCCTTTGACTTTTCTTCTGCTTAGAACATTCTTCTCCCTCTTGACCTGGTTTGTATTCCTTCTTTAGTTGTCCCTTGATGTCATTTCCCCCAAGGACTCTTGTCCGAGCCCCTAAACCCTGTTAGTATGCGTCCTACAGGCTCCCATAGTTCCTTGTACGTTATCCTTCAGAGCACTGACCACATTTTACACAGTTATCAGCATTCCCTCATTAGACTGTAAGTTTATTTACATATCTATCCTCAGTATCTAGTACCATGGCTGGCACCTATGTTAATAATTAACGTTTGTAATGGGTCCTTGCAATCTAAAAAGCATTTTCACATACAGTATCTCGTTAGCCCTTCCAACAACCTTGCAGAGTAGCTGTTATTAAAAGCAAAGAAACAGAAGCATCAATCGCTGACATTTGCTTAAGCAAACAGTGATGGCTGCTGGAACTGGATCAGGAGCAACAGTGACCACGATGAATTATGCTAATCTAGAAAAAAGGGACACCATTTTCTCATGTATACTGGGTGAACTATTGTTATATTTGCAAAAATCCTGTAATTTCTTATATCATTGTGAAAGCACACGAAAGCTATTTTGTTCAAGTTTACTTTGTATTAAGAGTACACTGTTCTAGTATGGAGGGTCCTTAAAAAACTAAAAATAGAGTTACCATGTGATCCAGCAATCCCACTCCTGGGCATTTATCCAGAGAAAACTCCTAATATGAAAAGACACTTGCACCCCAATGTTCTTAGCAGTACTATTTACCATAGCTAAGACACAGAAGCAATCTAAATGTCCATCAACAGATGAGTGGATAAGGAATTTGTGGTGTGGTATATATGTACATACACACAGACACACACACATATGTATGTATAAACGGAATACTACTCAGCCATGAATAAAAGCAACATGGATGGTCCCTAGAGATTATATTTAGTGAAGTAAGATGGAGAAAGACAAATATCACATGATATCACTTATATGTGGAACCTAAAAAAAAATGATACAAATGAACTTATTTATAGAAAGGAAATAGACTCTGACTTTGAAAACAAACTTATGGTTATGACAGGGGAAAGGGGAGTGGGGTAGGGATAAATTAAGATTTTGGGATTAGCAGATACAAGCTACTATAAATAGAATAGATAAACAACAAGGTCCCACTCTATAGGACAGGGAACTATATTCAGTATCTTATAACCACCTATAATGGAAAAGAATCTGAAAAAGAATATACGTATGTATAACTGAATCACTTTACTGCACTCCTAAAAACTAACACAACATTGTAAATCAACTATACTTAAAAAAAATGCACTGTTCTATTTCAGAGTGATTTTTCATCACATAGAGACATTCTTTATGAGAAAGTCCAACATCTTAGAAAAAGTCAAAAATTTTTTTTGGTTTTACTTTTTGCTTATTTTTTTATGGGTAGTCACCTTGGAGGTTGTGACTCAGATTTCGAGCTCAACTTGTGATTCGTTCAAAGCTAATTTTGGGGGTGGGGTGGGAAGAGGTAAATTAGGTTTATTTTTAGAGATGCTGCTGGGAATTGAACCCATATCCTTGTGCATGCTAAGCATGCACTCTACCACTTGAGCTATACCCTCCCCCTTCAAAGCTCATTTTTAATTTAGAATATTTTCTCCTTAACTAATAGGTAATCAGTTCCAGCCCTCACATCTCAGTTGCATGCACCAAAGGAATGAACCTTACTGTCAGTCCTGCCTGATACCACGTGTATAGATATGCCTACCGTATTAGGAAGGCAGATGGCTCGTGGTGGCTTTTCAGGTTATTTATCCTGGGACAGTGTTTTGTACCTTCAGTGATTTTCTTTTTGGGGGGGGGATAAGTAAGAACTTTCACAGTTTAAAAAAAATGATAAAATGCTGAAGTTCTGTACAGGTTTTCATAAACTCCGTTTTTATCATTTAGAATATTTGTCTCTGAGTTACCGAGCTCTTCAGCAGCACAGCATGACCAGAACAAAGCTCGCCTTGGTGGGACTGTGTGGAACGACCAGGCTCACGGGCTAAGCTTGGCCTTGGCTTTCAGTGACTGCCGTGTGTCACAATTCCCTTGCGACATTATTTTGCACAGTAAAGTAATCGTTGTTTGGAAGGAGTCTTGTTCTTGGGAGTGATTTGTGGTGTGTGCTTTCTTCCCACCAAACAGGTTGACGTCCGAAAATCCACCCTCTCTATGGTCGATCGGCTCCAGAGGCAGATAATCATAGCCGACTGTCAGGTTTACCTGGCTGTGCTCTCCTTTGTGAAACAGGAGTTGTCAGGTAGGCCGCGCCATTGTTTTCCAAGGCTTTCCTGTTCTGTGGACGTAATTGGTAATACTCTTTTTTTTAGGACGCCTCGTATTTCAGTCTTTGAAAACATGTGGCACCTCTTTGGGGGTGTGGTCCTGATTTATTGCTTGAGAAATTGAAACCACAAGGGCTCAATGTGTGTTTAGCGGTGTAGTTTTTCATACCGAAATCCGTGTTTCATCCCCTTGTCTCCAGATACTCTGTCATGCTTAGAGACATGACCAGTGCCTTAGATTTTTTTTCTTAGTGGGAATCAAGTTGGGGTAATGATCCTTAAAAGTGAAACAGAATGGGTTTCAATGTAAGTTTTTCAGAAAGTTGTCATTGAAGGCCTGAGCCTGTACTAAAGATTTCCTACTATACTTGAATGACCTGTGCTTTAACAACCCTTAGTGAGGAGTATAAACTAATTTCTTACTTCATTTGCCCAAGACAGATGTTTTCCAGGATTTTGTAGCTTTAATATCTCAAGTGATAATAGACTTGGACTGAGGGCCTCAGAACTCGCCATGAGGTTAACTTCGGCACTTCACTTACATGATTTTATGTCTGATTATGATGGCAGAAACCTGCCTCTTTGGTAGATAGGATTTACTTGAAAAAAATGAAAATTCAAAAAGGAAATCAACTGGAATTCACAATGAGAAAAGCATTTTCTTCCAAACCTTAAATGAAGAAGGGAGGGTATGTTGCCAAGTCACAGTATACACTTTTCTTTCTAGACGGCTGGAAGCCACGTTTCCCCTCCCTTTGCTTTCTTCTCTCTCTCTCTCCACTCAGACTTGAGGATGCTTTGTTTCTGTTTGGCCCAAGTCAAAAGTAGAATGTACCTTTTCTTATGACCTCCAAAATTTGGACTTCCTGCAAATTATATTTTTCTGTGTTTTATGATTGTACTGTGGCCTTTTCTTTTTGATCCATTTTTTTCTCTTTAATCCTTATCTCAGGACTCTCCCAGTAACTAACTTATGTGGTTGAGGGCTCAAAGCTCATGTGAATTTGAATGTGAATTTGCTGTAATATCATGATGTGAAATTGCCCATTTGGTGCTCCACACTCACATGTATGTAAGAGAGCAGTGAATAGATCTGGGCCTCTTTGGTCGAGACAGAAGCTCTGATGTCTTCTGTGACGTTGGAGAACTTTTTTCCTGAGACTCAAGGACTTTTCTAAGGACCTAATTTTAGCCATTAAGAAAATACCGATTGAGAGAAACAGATGAATCAAACGTAGTAAAAATGTCTGGGGAATCAGGGTGAAGGGTATCTGGGAGTTCCTTGTGTTAATCCGTCTTTCACGTGTTCATTCACTGGTCCATTCAGCAGATAACAACAGAGCACACCCAACGCCGAGCACCGTGTTACGTGAGCGTGTGTAGACAGTGGTCCTTGCCCTTGTGAAATTCAGAATCACCAGTTAGTACTCTTACTTTTAAAATCACTCTGATTGTAAAATGACTAAATGTTATAGAAAATTTGGAAAATATAAAAATTTAAAAAGCAAGTCATTTGTGTTCTTACCACTTGGAGAAAATCCCCCCCCCCTTTTTTTAAGGGTTTTAAAGTTTTATTTTCAATTAGATAAGCCAATAAACCAATCCTTTTTTTCCCTGCCCTTCCCTTATGTCCCCCAAGTTCTGCAGAGTCGTACCTGCCAGCCTTTCACCATTATGCTCCCCGAGAAAATCACTATGGCTAATGTTCTGTTTTTATGTTTCTCTATGTTTCTTAAAAAGAATTCAATCTGTGGTATTTTGTATCCTACTTTCCCTCTTAGATTATATTTCATGTATTTTTCCTATAACTCAGAGTTTCAAAATATAATTTTAAAAGCATATTAGTTTGTCATGTGAATGTGCCCCCAGTTTATTTAACCAGTTCCTCTTGGGATATTCAGGTGTTCTTTGCTAATTTTATGTTTTATCCATAAACTGTATTTCTTTCACAGATATCTTCATGACCTTCTCCCTTTCTCCTAAAAGGTTGATATTAATCAATTATTTAAATTATTTAACCCAGTTTGTTGTAGATTTTTCATAGCACTCTTGGTTTTTTCCTGATGCTGTATAATTTACTGAACCTAGTAGTGATATTGAAAGGAAACTGACAGACTGAAAACCTCAGATTCTAATAAACTCATGTGATGGTCATTTGCTTTATGAATAGCTCAGTAATTTTTCAAAGAAACAACCAAAAATGTGCTTCATTTGCTTTTCAGAAACCCACTGGGTTATTAAACTCTGAAAAATCTCCTCTTTGTTGGGATCCATTTCTTAAACTTCCCTGATGAATAATTTTCTTAGAAAAACTCCTTCTTGGACATGTTTGTTATAGGGGCTCCTACCACTCCTCAATCAGGTGGCACAGAAGTGGGGCGGGGGAGGGGGTGCTCAGACTCACCCGAGCTCAGGGAGGACTGAGCCCCTGGCTGTGTTTATGTTTCATACTTTCAAAAGAGCCCTTGTGCTTTATCTCCTTGAACATCCCTAATGAGTTGCGCCCATCATCTCTCTCCATTTTCCTGTACTGCTTTTTAATTTACTCTAATCCAAAGGCTTTTTTTTTTTGCAGTGAGCACATATTAATTAGTTTTGTAACAAAAAGAATTCATTTTTAAAACTGATTTTATGGCTCTTGCCACCTTGTTTTATTATGTTTCCTTTATCTCCTTTCGGACTTGAAAATCGGCCCCCTGCCTTACTCTTCTTGGCATAATATATGCTCCATAAATTTTTCTCAAATGAAGTGGTTTTCCTTGTTTTCACTGGTGAGCCAGTTGAGGCTGAATGATTTGAGGTTGAACAGTTTATACAGCTTGTTAGTGATGGCAGAACCAGGACATGAGCCGTGAATTTCTTATTTCATACCTGAATCTCCAGCACTCACACCATTTTCCTATCACCTTAGTTTGGAGAGTGGTGGCTCATGCATCCAGATGGCCCAGAACTCCTGCTTTCTCAGCACCTTCTCCCTCAGCCCCCATGCCCCTTGCTCCTTCTGTCCTGTGGAATTCGCCTCTGGAAGAGTAGAACATCCTGCTGCTGACTCGCACACTGCTCCAATTGATTCTCTGCAATGCCATTGATGCCATCGGAGCGCGCTCTCTAACACATGCCCGCCTGTGCTTCAGACACTTGGCGGTTCTGCAGCATCACCTGCAAGCTGGAATCCAGCTTTCTTCCTCAGGTGCCATGGAAGGACCTGCCCCCTCCCCAGCCGCCTCTAGCTCAGCAGGGCTGCTTGCCGCCCTCTGAATCCCCGGTTGCCTGCAGCCCTTGTGTGTGCCGCCCATGCCGTCGGGAGCACCCCAACCTTCTCTTGCTCTCGTGAGTCTCCAGGTGCAGCCCGGCCTCCCTCCTTCATTGCCTGCTCTCTCTGCTCCATCATCTGGCCTTTGGCTCTGCTTGTACCCGGTACGTAGCCAGTTAGAGCTTACATCACATCACAGTCCACACCTGTATTTCCACGTCTGCCTACAGTAATAGATGGAAACTTCTGGAGGGCTGGGACTGTGTCTGCCTGCTGTCTTTTCCCTCCACATTTACTGAGCACTTACTATGTGTCAGATGGTGTGAGATGATAAATGCTAATGGTCTAGAGATGAATGGGATGTAGCTCTTGCCTCAGGGCACTGATGGTTTAGCAGGTGAGAAAAAGGACTAAATAAATAATTCAGGGCGATACTTTAACCAGTAGATATATGAGTTAGTCAGAGAGGCTGCACAGGGAACGAGTGATTCCTAAGCTCTGCTGGGAAAGTCAAGGATCCCCGGTCCCTGAGCAGGATTATAAAGAGTAGAAGTCTGTTTCCTTCTCTGTGTCCCTGGCACTTGCTAAGGGTCCCTTTGCCTCATACGTGATGGGCGTATAATATGAATTAAAGGGAGGGATGGAGGAAGGATGATGGCATTTGGGAATGAGATGCATGATTTTGAGCCCCAAGAAACTCCAAGAATAGTTAGGGGTTGGAGAAGTGAGTCTATTAGAAATCTGTTGACCAGGGGTAAAGATGATAATGAGGAGGTGGGCTGACAAGTAAACACTAAATCATCTTTTTTTCTTCCAAAGTCTTTTATTTGGATCACAAGAAAGGCAAAGCTGAACATATACCTTCCATTAAGTGGTTACTCAGCGTCATCCAGGACCAGTGAACAGAGAGTGCTATGGTCGGACCTCTCACCAGAAACAATCTCCACTTAAAAAACAAAACAAAACAAAACAAACTACAAAATGTATCCCAGGGTCCCTTTAGTGTAACTTGATATTTTCATTTTCTAGACAACCTTTGCCCTTTCCAGGGAGGGACTGCCCCCACCCCCCGTCGTGGGGGCAGGGTTTCCTGTCTCTCCTGCACCTCCAGCTGATGGAGGCTGGCCCTCACAGGGGAGGGCGCACGGTCTGAGGTTTTCCGCTCTCTGTGCCGTCCTCCATCGGGACAGTCACGCTGGCTGGATGATTTGTTTGCCCTTTCAGAGGAGGCTGTGCAGATTGAAGGGCCCCGTGCTCACCTGCTCGCCCTGCTTGCTCACCGGCCGAGCTGCTGTCCGTCAGTGGACTAAGCCTCTTTTCTGCAGGAGCTGAGCTTCCGTCGTGGGTCCTCACTCGGCCTTTGTTCCTCCCGCCAGGGCCTGGCTGGGCTCCGGTGTTTCGGTCACAGTCCTTGGGACAGGGAGCAGGGCGAGTCCTGGGGGCCTGTTTCCATGCAGAGCTAAACTTAAAATAGTGGTAGAGACAAAATCTCTGTCTACATGCTAACTTCGTTTGCCCAGATCTCATTTTCTTACCTTTGACTTGGTCAAAACTTTGAGCTCTGTTAACCCGGCTCCAGCTCGGGGCTTTAGTGCTTGCTGCTATGGGATCGAACATGTGCTTTTAAAATGAACATTAGCACCTAAGCTCCTGTCTTAGGCAAGAAATTAAAGGTGTTGAATTACTTTTATTTTTATTCTATAAAAACGAGTTTTTACCCTGTTGCTTTTTTTTTCTTCTTCTTTAACTGAATTCCAAGTGGTCAGCACTGATGGATTTTTATGTTTTCTTCTATTGCTGCCATCCGTATCCATAACTGACTCTGCCTGGGACCTGGATTACCATGATTTGATGCCTTAACACTAGTCCCCTTACCCCAGCCTGAGGGAGTCCCTGCAGGCCTCCCTCCCTTGGCTGGGCATCAGGGGCCTCTGTCATCTGAGTGCGTCATCCCTGTGCCGGCTTGGCCCAGGGTGTCCCCTGTTTCACTCGGCCACTGAACAGCTTGTCCATCTGCTCCTTCATACTCGCGCTTCTGGAATGCTGCCCTTCCCTAAATGCTTCCTCAGTAAAGGGACAGTAGCCTGGAAAATACAAGATAAAACGGAGTTCAATTTTTCCTCTAAATTTCCAGCTTGGCGTGGGGACAGGAGGGAGTAAAGTTTTCCGCTGAAATCCTGCAGTACTTATTTTGCACTTTTAAATTTATGCGTTTATTGCGTGGAAAATAACTTCATGACAAAAAGGAAACAAAAAAGGACAGTTCACTCATAATCTCAACATTGTTTTCACTTTTTTATGTATGACCCAATGGAGCATATAAACATATACATATGGAGTCTTATGTCACACCCTAATTTTTTTCATTTGTTTTATTTTGTAATTTTATTGGCCTTTGAAGGCTGAGATTTGTGTCTTACAGTTCGTTTGTCTCTCTCAGGTGCCAAGCATAGTCATAGGCACATGATAGGAACATAATAGCTGATTATGTTTTTAGAGTTTTGCAGATTTTCTTTTTCTCTTTTTATTTTCTATTTTTTTCTGTAGCCAATTATTTCTTTTTAATTAGATCCAATGGCTTGTGTGTTCCCAGGAATACATATTTTAGTTTCCTTTCTATTTCTGTTTTTCTATTCAGTCTTTGGCTTTTGGGATCATAAGTGAGAGGCATCTTTCTTACTGGCGTATTGGATTAACCTAAACACTTTATTAGCATACCAAGAAGTTTCAGGGTTTCCTCAAACCTTTCTTTTTCCCACAGTACTTCCATTTGGGAGGGGAAAAGTCGTGCCTCTCAAAGGCAGGATCTATGTCTTATTTCTCTTTGATTCTCCTAGAACAGTGTCTGAAATGTAATGTTTGCTCACTAGATATTCTTGTTAAATTGAACTGAATGAAAATAAATTGTTTCAGACATGTATTACTTTTATAACAAGTTATAGAAATAATCCCCCCCCCAAAGAAGCTTCTGTAGACTAATTTATCTTGCTGCTTCACCATGTCGCATAGCCATCTGTTCAGTGGACTCAGACTGCAGGACGTTCATCGCCCAGAACTTGTGGGATTCGTGCTGTGAATTGTGATCCCATAGGAGAAACAGTCATCATTTGCCAGAAAATTGATGCATTTAATTAAAATAGTAGCTTTTGAGTCCATGGATTGGGGGTAGTCCCAGCACCACCTTAGGGTCCAGTGGTTTGCAAGGAGGACTCAGCAGGTGGTCGTACTCATGGCTGTGATTGGTCACAGTGAAAGGATACAGAGCAGAATCAGAAAAGGGAAAAGGCACCTGGGTGAAGACCAGGAGACTCAGCCACAGGCTTCCCAGGGTCCTCTCCCAGTGGAGCCACGTAGGATGCACTTAGTTCTCCGGACAGTGAGCTGTAACAGCACCTGTGAAGGGTAGCCCACTGGGGAAGCGCGTTGGTGACTCAGCACCCAGAGTTTTTACTGGGGACCCACCATGTAGGCATCCCTTGCCTTGCACATGCCCAACATCCGGACTTCCAGAAGGAGAGCAGGTGTCCAGCATAAAACGTTGTGTGTGCAGACCACATAGACACAGTAAGCCACTCTTGCCAGTTCTGGGAGTGATGAGAACCCTCCCAAATCTAAGTTCCCAGAGAGCAACCAAGGGCCGACCTTGTAAACAGGCCTCTGACAGGAGAGCAGGAGGCCTCGCCGTGTTCACTTTCCTGCACACGCACGTATTCTTCAGTCGCTTTCAGTGTAGGGGTTGGACTTCTATAAATCAGATTTTGTGTTATGTTACGTATTTTATGAAACTGAAAATAACTTCTTTTCCTGCTGTTGTAAAGGGCCTGGAAGCCTGGGACGGTGCATGTTGTGCTTTGGGGTCAGAGTACCAGAGCCATGTTGGTAACGGCGGGTAGGCGCTCTCCAGTAGTGACAAGAGAACCCTTGTTACAAAAATTCCTCAAGTACATGGTGACGCTGCACTCAGATCAGCACGAATGCATTGACTCCCCCATCCCTTCCCCATCACAGGAGAGGGTGAGGCAGGACCTGAGGGCTTGCCCAGGAGGGGCTGCTGGGATGTGGAGCAGGGCGGATCCATGTTCATCTCTAACCCGTCTGGGACACGTATTCTCAAGGTGGCTCTGTTAAGAAAAACTGGCCTAATGGGAAATAATGGAAGTGGCTTTAAAAACAGATCTTCACCCCTTGGTGTGAAGTAGCTTCTGCTTTGCCAGCCTTCTCACCGGAGCTCCATGGGCTGGGACAGCCCTTGTCATAGACCAGATAAAGCCAGCTTGGTTAGGTGTGGTTTCGCCTAGAACAGGCATTGGATAGAGATGCACTGAGGATCCTTTCCATTCTTTGCATTTAACACTAACGAGTTTTTTGTTAAATAATCTGGCCATTTGTTCACCCAATAAATAATAATTCATCCTTTTTGTTTTGCTTGCTATGTTTTTTGGCAAGTTGTCGTGCTTGGTGTTTGGGAATAAATATAGCAGCAAATTTAGACTTAGAAGCTGCCTTTGAGGAGGGAGGAAACACAAAGTGGGCAGATTTGGGTTTTATCAGGAAAGCACCGTTACAGTTCAGGGGTGTGGTAAAGGGTTTCACGAAACACATGGGGAAAAGTTGGATTCGAATGAGGACTGCATTTGTTCATTCAGTGAAAGTTATATATACTGTGCCCTCGCTACCCCGTGAGGGGCTCAGTACAGCAGTGAACAAAAAAATACATGCTTCTTGCCAAGTGGTCATGTGGAGCAGTAAAAGGAAACACTGCAAATAGGGGACTTGAAGCTGTATGAAGAAGTGTCATGATAGATAATTTTTAAGAATTTTGTTTTTTCAGGTCATTCCTCAGTATCTTTATTATGAATGTAGGGAAATTACTTTAAAGGCTTGTTTTTTCATGTTTTTCTCCCCTTCTCTTTATAGCATACATAAAAGGTGGGTGGATCCTTAGGAAAGCCTGGAAGATTTACAATAAGTGCTATTTGGACATCAATGCCCTCCAGGAGCTGTATCAGAAGAAGCTCACAGAAGAACCCTTGACTTCTGACGCTGCAAATGATAATCACATTGTGGCTGAAGGGGTGTCTGAGGAGTCTCTAAACAGACTGAAAGGTGCTGTTAGCTTTGGATATGGCCTTTTTCACCTTTGCATATCCATGGTGCCCCCAAACCTGCTCAAAATCATCAACCTGCTGGGTTTTCCTGGAGACCGCCTGCAGGGGCTTTCTTCACTGATGTATGCAAGCGAAAGTAAGGACATGAAGGCCCCTTTAGCTACGTGAGTAGCTATATTGCAATGCTTTGGTAGATAATATAGTGTTGAAAGCAAGTAAACGACAATCAGAACCTTTACAGGAAGCGTCAGGTAAAACGCTCGGTTGGTTGATACCTGCCACGCCGTTACGTTTTTCGTGCGATGCCAAGGACCATGTTCTCGGTGTTGTTTATAAGCTGACTTCAGAGAACAGAGCACTGTTCTTAAGTCTTGCGACTTCTGTATTTTAAATAGGTAAAACGATCATAATTTATAAGCAGTTCTGGTGACCTTGACCAGTCACTGAGATTCATGGTCCTGATTTTTGGATGTGAGGGGATATAAATTTCATAAGACTGTTCTGTGATTCTGAGATTTCTATTCTTAAATCCTTATGTTGGGTAATTTTCCTTGATGATTCTGGTTGGTTCCATTGATCTCTCACAGGTGGCTTAGATACTTTGTGCTTCTCAGCTAAATTGAGTCATATTGTATTCAGGCTAAACTTAAACGATTATTTAAACAGAAGAATGTGAAGTTCAAGGCTGATAGAATCATCCAGGGCAAGGATTCATCCATTTCCTCATCAATTAAAAATCATTTGTTTTTCTTTCCCCCCAGTCTGGTAAATACCCACCATTTGCAATTTGAATAACTTTTACCAGATACTGGATGTCCTTTGACATTACACCACTTGTCAATTTTTCCAAAAGATGTTGATGTCACAGAGAACCTTAGTGAGCTGTATTTCTACTTACGTCAGTATTGAAGATTTTGGATGTTAACTCTTAGTTGAGGTCATTAATTTTTCATTGCAAAAATGTTCGGGTCTCCCCAAAGTCATATTACACAAGCAGTGGTCCTTTATTAATTTGACTGAACAGATTTGCAACTTGTGATAATCCGTCTTTTATATCTTAATAATTTCTGAGAAAGGAATGGATTGAATAAATAATGTAAATTAGCCTGAGCTCCAGAAGAGAACCAAATTTATGCACATGCTGGAAGCATACATTTACATAAAAATGTTTGTTGTGTTGGTTAAACATTTTTGTTTCATTAAAGCTGATCCCACTGAATCTATTTTGTTTACTTAGTTTAACGTGACATTTGTATTGAAAGGGACGCGTTTGAAGTGAGAGATTTTTAAGTAAACTTACTCATTTGTTTGGTCTTTATATTGAACAGCCTCAAAAGCTAGAGAAAGGGCTCTCCCTCTGGTCCTCTCACTTATTTTAACCCAGTTTAGTATAATTTTGCCTGTGGCTCCTGTATTTAAATTCAGATTCTGAGGCTGATGCTCCAACTTTTGTGAACATAAGAGAAAAAAAACGTTTTCCTTTTGCAAAAAAGTAACGTAAAAAGTGATCGTAAGGGGACAGTAAATTTGTGGTAAGCAGTTATTGTTTCTAACCTGCGCATTGGCAAGGAAGCTGTAGAATTCAGAGGTTTCTGTCTGTGGCACCTTCAGCAGTCCCGCCAGAAGCCGCAGGAGAGCCCCAGGATCCTGTCACCCTGTTCTCTCAGCTGCTGGGACCATGCTGATTTAAATATTGTGCTCTGAGTTTGTAGTTTTCCAAATATGGGTGAGAGTAAAAGGGGGAAAGGGACCGATTTTACTTCTTCAGAGACTGCACAGTGAGCTTTTGGAAGGGGTGTGTATTGGCAGAGCACGTGAGGTTATTTTAAAGAGTGGAAACACTGAAAGGAGAGTCAAGGCCGCTCACCATCTCTCCCCCTCTTCCTTTAGGTTAGCGCTGCTCTGGTACCACACTGTGGTCCGCCCGTTTTTTGCCTTGGATGGCAGTGACAACAAAGCAGGCCTGGACGAAGCAAAGGAAATTCTTCTCAGAAAAGAAGCTGCTTATCCCAATTCTTCCCTTTTTCTGTTTTTCAAGGGACGCATACAACGATTAGAGGTACGGTGCCTTCCCCATCTTTTTAAAACAGGAAGGCTTCTGTTGATGGAATCTTTAATTCTCACTTGGGGGACTAATATCTCAAGGAACCTGAATGTCAGAGGACTGAGGAGCATCTTGTTTTTGCACCTTTCACTGCATCATTGCTGCGGGAGCCTCTTCCAGGAACCCGGGATGTTAGTCAGTTTCCTTCTGTTCAGCAGGGGTGGGCGCAGCGGGGCTGAGATCCCTTGGCGGCGCTGGGACAAGGTGGTGCGCCCGAGCTGAGGGCATCGGAGCCCTGGTGGGGGTGTTGGGGAGGGGGCTTCATTGTAAACACAAAATACAGTTTTTTTTTCCCTTCTCTGGAGTTACTAATGATTTATTTCCAAATGTTCATCCTGGCCGATAATAGATTGATACATGAGTTATTGCCCAAAATGTCAAGGACAAGAAGGCTTTGAACAATTAGTAGCTGGTGTTGCTTTTTCCTGCACTTCGTTTGGCTGGGTCCTACCATCCCACTGGATCCCCAGAACAAGCCCACGATAGGGATATAAAACCATCCCCTGTGTTTTACAGAAAAGATAAACAGGGATCTTAGCAGGCTTCACGTGACCTCCGAGCTCACCCAGCGAGTGAAGCCAGGCTGTCTCGTTCCAGAAACTGACCACGCGCTGGCCTTAGAGGAGGTTCTGCTTCCCTTTACGCCTCTTTTTTGTTTGCTTGCTTGAGGATCTGAAGAAAAATGAAAATCTTTAAGAAATGGATCACGCATGTGAAAGAAGGCGGCTATTATGTGAGGTGCCCCACCCACGTGCACACTGGTAGCTAGTAGCACGTCAGTGCGAAGTTTAGTAACCTCTGCCCTCAGGTAGCCAGGCGTTGTGGGCGATGCTGAAAGTCAGCCCCCCTCCCTGCAGACCCCACAAGTGCTTTGGAAGATTTTTGCCGAGGAGTGCTTTCATGAGCACGGGGAGGGTGATACGTTTGCTGATTTTTCTGTTGACAGTGGAGTGTATGTTACTTCCCCAGTAATTTCTTTCCATCATGATGTGCCTTAAGTCGGGGCCTCCTTACCTTTGTCTGTGGGAATTATATTTTAAAGATTATACTAATAAGTCACAACTGGAACAACACAGAAAGCTTCCCAGGATCTGAATTACTTAAACCCACGGCCAAGTTATTTTTCTTCTCATTACCTTGAGCATGTCTTTCTTTGCATTCAGGCTCACGAGCCTTCAGTGATGTGTCTCCTTTTTTCTCTTGGCTATCTTAAATGTAGTTCTGATCAGTCTCCTGTGCAATCTTGTCTGTCAGTGTTTTTTTTTTTCTTTCAAGCCCGGGGTTATGGTCCTACACATGGGGAAGGATGTTCAGGCTATTCAAGTTTGAGAATTTTAATTGAGTCAGCCTTCTCACTTTAGTGACCATTGCAGGTTAAGTGCTTGCTTAGATGTAAATTTCTTAAAATTCTGAGTTACTCTGAACGTGACGATCGAGGTTCAGTGTTCCAGGGAGACTCGCCAAGTAGGGGCGAGAGCCTGGCGTTTACGGTTGTGTGTGATTCTGGCGTTGGGGCACCAGTGTTAGGCATCCGTTAGAAGTCTCTCTCCTCAGTCCCCTGATCACTGAATTCTCTAAATTGGGTTTTGAAACTGCTGGAGAGGTAGAAGTCAGGATTTGTATTCTGTCATGCTTGCCATTTTCATTAATTTTTCATTTTAAAACAAAAACGCTTCACCTTTAAAGAAGCTAGTAACTTCCCTTTCTTCCCCCTAGAAATTAATTTGGCGTGGTTTTAGTGTGTGCCACCGGTCAACCCCAGAGGGGCTGAGTGAATGCCGACCGTGATTGGTCCTTTGCTGTCATGGGGATGGTTCTAGAAGTAAGGAGGCCACAGCAACATCAGAGGATTCTTAGGAGTGTGGGTTGGGAGGTACATAGTCAACAAGAGTTTGGCTCTTGCCAGAGACCTGGAGGCAAAAAGAACTGCACGGCTAACTTGACATGACATTGATGTTATCTTCCCTGTGCCCGGACACCGGCGTTTCATTCGTCTTCCCCGGCGACCGTGCAGGGAGGTATCAGATGGTGGCATCCTGCATTTGTTCATGAGGACCTCTGCCCAGGGAGGCTGTGATGTGGCTCTTGTCAAAGGCTCCCCGTAAGGCTTCTAAGCTCCCAGCTCTGTTTTTGAAAACACAGGGCTCAGTCGATGAATTTGCTTGCCAAGAACCTTTTTTCTTTTCAGTGCACATTTAGGTTAGAGATAAGGCCCCTTGAGATCTTTTCATCCACAGGCTCCCGGGGAGCTTGGTCCAGAGGCTCTGATTTAGGCAGGTGCATCCTATGACACTGACTTAGTTTCTTCAGTGACTGAAAATCTGCAGAATTATTTGGAAGCTGCTTTTGTGCCTGCGACTAGCTCGGCGCGGGCTTTCCCTTTACTCGTTAGTTGCAAATCATGTGCAGGTGCCCACGTTCTTTTAGTTTCAAGAACACCTTTTCGCATACTTTGCCCTTGGTTGTTTGGGACGGTTTGGGATCCACAGGGCAGGGCGGTCTTTCCCGCGTCCACCCCACGCTGCCACTTGGGTTGCCCTTGTGGTCGTGTCTTCCTTTTTCCCCGTCGTCGTCGTGGCCACACGTGACATAGCAGTGAAGCTGTATGCCGTCAGGGGTACATGGGGCCCTTGTGCACCTCAGCTCTTTGGGAGTCTTGGCCAGACTGCAGGAAGGATTTCTTTGTTTACTGCCTTTGCTTCTCTGCGCTGCGTGTGTGCAGTGCCCCACCTCCGACCTTCTCCACCCTCTTGCCTTGTCCTGCCACCTGTCCTGACTCGGCTCACTTCTCCCGAGTGGCTGACTTACCGTGTTGCGGGGAGGAATAAACGGGTTCACACGTACTTAAGCACGTGGTAAATGCTATCCAAGTGGTGTGATAGTTGTGGTGGTTCGTATTGAGAGCTTAATGCTGGGAAGTAGTGTTATCAAATTTGCTGTCTCTTTTTAGAATAAAGAACTTGTTTTGGTGTTGAGAGCTGTCAGTAGAGCGAGTCCTGAGGGAAAAAGGCAAAATGGGTATGTGTAGCTGGAGGGGTATAGATACCGCGCAGTCAGTACCCATGGTTTCCCTGAATTTCCACAATGCACACACTTTAGGAAGTTGACCCAGGGGTTAGAGAGTAATCCCAATTTTAAAATGCGAATTGATGTTTACAGTTTTGAATTTTATATGTATTTTCACCCCATCAAACCTATGGTAGTGATAAGTCCATTAACATACAAGAGATGAGTATTTTTCTCTTTTTTAAATTAACATTGATTTTTATTGAAGTATAGTCAGTTTATAATGTGTCAGTTTCTGGTGCACAGCATAATCTTTCAGTCATATATATACATATACGTATTCGTTTTCATATTCTTTTTCATTATAGGTTACTATAAGATTTTGAAAATAGTTCCCTGTGCTGTACAGAAGAAACTTGTTGTTTATCTGTTTTATGTATAGTAGTTAATATTTGCAAATCTCCAACTCCCAATTTATCCCTTCCCATCCCCTATCCCCCTGATAACCATAAGTTTGTTTACTGTGTCTGTGAGTCTGTTTTTGTTTTATAGGTAAGTTCATGTGTCTTTTTTTTTTTCCAAATTCCTCATATTGTATTTTTCTTTCTCTTGCTTACTTCACTTAGAATGACAGTCTCTAGGTCCATCCATGTTGCTGCAAATGGCATTCTTTTATTTTTTATGGCTGAGGAGTATACCATTGTGTGTGTGTGTGTGTTTATATATACACACACACCACAACTTCTTTATCTAGCCATCTATATGAGTATTTTTCTTGATTATTTAAAAGCATTAGGGACAAGTCTATATTTTAATAAACTTTTTTAATTTCTGTCTAGTCCTCTTTTTTCTCTAAACAACACAGATGTGTACAATTCCCCTCTCCTTCCGTTTTCGCAGTCTGCGTCATGTGTAGAATACAGATACATGTGTTTGGTTTTATGTGTGTACATGCTTTCATACACACCCTTTATATGGTGCGACCAGTTATGAAACTGATTTTTAGTAACAGTCTGTCTCTAAATGCTTAAATATTTGAATGAGAGTTGGTGGACATATTCTAATGAAGTTCCTTTATGTATTTTGAGAACTCTTATTTTGAAACTGTCTTCCGAGCTTGGACCCATAGGTTTTGAATATCCTGCATGCTGGCTTTGTAAAACCTTGGGTTTGGGTTTCAGGAGCACAAGACTGGCCCTCAATGTGTAATTGTTGAATGAACAGGTGAATCTATTGGCAGGAAGTTCATTTGATCAGTGTGAGTGATGGCATTGCTTTGAGAGAGGGATCAGGTTATCAGGGACTGTCTGCTTTTCTTGGTGGCACCAGACCTGTTTCTGCAGCCAGTGCAGAGGATGATGATGCAGGAATATCTTGACACCTGGTGTAAGAGGATGGCCTCTTAGGAGGAAGGGCAGCCCGCCAGGCATTGACATTCCGATGGGCTGGCCGAAGAAGTGTGACTCCACAGAAGTGCATTAAATCAGCTGGAACAAAGTAAAAAGCAGATGGGTTTAGATGCGGTCTCTGCTCGTTGCTGGGAGTACCGAGGTGCGAAGGCTGGGCCCCGGTTCTCCATACGCGCAGCCTGGTGGGCGCTGTGCTGTCACGGCCTTTCACAGCTCCACCAGTTACAGCCCTGCTTCGGGAGGACGTGTGGCCTCGAGGCCACACTGAAGGAGTTACAGTGAACTGTACCTTTTGTGTGTGCGCCCACGGCAGCCTCATCACAGCGTCTTTCCCTTCGGTGAGGCTGCCTTGTTTGTGCTTTCTGACAAACGCCACCTCCTCCCGCACAGTCTGCTCTGTTTTGGACTTCTGCCTCCCTCCCCACTTTCCTTTGGAGGAAGGTGTATGATAGGTTATGGCTTCTTGTGCCCACGAACAGTGTCTGCAGGGACTGCTTTGGTGATTGACCTTTACTGCGTTTAAGTCACCCTGGTATCCGT